CCAGGTGAGGCACCAGGTGAGGCACCAGGTGAGGCACCAGGTGAGGTACCAGGTGAGGCACCAGGTGAGGCACCAGGTGAGGCACCAGGTGAGGCACCAGGTGAGGCACCAGGTGAGGTACCAGGTGAGGTACCAGGTGAACCAGCCTAGTGGACAGCAGAGCTCCAGCTGTCCAGCAGCATCACGGCTGGTGAGACCTCCTAGCAGCAGCGTGTGTTCCAGCCTGGTGCTGCGTTGCTGTTGCCCTGAATCCTTCAGCAGATGGGAGGAGAGATGTTAGCGGGGTGGGTCGGGTCCTTTAGGATGTTTGTGGTGATGATGTCATCAGGGCAGGCAGGTGTGTGTTTGTTATTTTCTCTGCATGGCCTTCCAGGATGCTGGTCTTTTATTAGGAACCAGATCCAGACCTCCTCCTGGAGGATCCCAGTGACATCCGTGACCAGGAAGGTTCTGACCGCTTCAGATGGGTCTGTCTCCTGATCAGAACCAGGTCTTTTTGATGGGGAGGAGCAGCAGCTCCACTCAGAGCTGCCTCAGGATGTCCCAGGTCAAACCCAGCCTTCCTGCTGGACTTGGTTCTGACCCGGAACACTAACTGAACCCTCATTGGAGTGGTCAGAACCTCATTAGGAAGATCGCTGAACAGAACTGAAAACTGGACCAGAGGTTGTGGACTGGGTCACGGTTTGACTTGTTTCTGTTACCAGCTGATCCTGGTAGTTTGTTTCTGGATCTGCTTCCTGTTTTCCACCATTCCTCCTCTCTGGAACCGGACCGACACCTCATGAGGAATCGGGCCCGTATAAGTGACACTCCGCAGGCGTGTTTTAAACCGGGTCAGGGTCGTATTTCACCATTTCAGGTCTGACCCGCTGTCATGTATTAATTAAAATCCAAACAGCCCGTATTGATCGTGTTATCAGGCGCGTGCAGGCGGGATCGATCCGACCCGTGATTTATGATCATTTTTCCTTTTGTGTAGGAACCAGATCCGGAGCGTTTGTTTCTCGGAACGCTGCTGACAGGAGACAGTTTCAGCCAAAATAATCGTTCTGATCCGGTTGGATTCGTCTGGCATTAAATCAAATCAAAACAAGGAGCTGGAGCTTCTGGCTGTCGGATCCCATTTTACTGGGATGTCACAGAATGTAATCTGTTTCAAATATATGTCACTTTTAATCAAAATACATTATTATTATTGTTGTTATTATGATTGTAATATTATTAATTATTGTTGTCATTATATTATTATTTATTATTATTGTAATAATATGATTAATTAATATTGTCATAATAATAATAATAATTATTATTATTCATAACAACCATAATAATAATTACAACAAAGATATAAATATTTATATTTTTATTAATTGTATTATTATTGTTGTTATTATTAATGTGCATAAAGGCCACCTTCAGACCTTCCACTTCAAACATTATGACTTTTTAATTAAATAGTGAAATATTATTATTAATCCATAATAATGACTTTCACTTTATTTTTTTTTTTACAATTTATAATCTTTACTATCTAAAATTAGTAAAGACTAAAGATTGCTGCAAAATTCTTGTGAAAATTTTCTTTATTTTATTCCATCAAGAACAAAAATTATTTTAGACTCAAACATGAATAAAAAGAAAATGAAAGAAAATAAAAATACAAAATAAACAAATTAAATTAATAAAACACAAAGAACCTAAAACCAAAACTATGAAACGGGTAAAAAAGGTAAATATTAAAAACAGAAAAGAGTCTTTGAACATTTATATTTTTATTATTAATCATTAGATTCAGATGAGAAGTTGCTGACAGGAAATATTAGATTATTTAAATGTATATTTTATCCAGCTCCTACTTCCTGTCAGTTTAAAACCATTTCCTGTTTTGTGTCTAACATCAGACTTCGGGTTGGTAGTTAAAATCCGGACCAGATCACTAACAACGCCTTCGTTTTATTTCCCTGCTAACAAAGAATCGATGAGGAATCGCGGAGGTCGAGTTCAGATAAGCGCTGCTGGGGCGCTCCGACTACTCATCATAAGTGTGTGGGAGCTGGGAGGTCAGGAGAAATGATATTCCTGCAGGAGCGGAGCCTCCTTATCTCTCTGAAGCAGGAGCAGCAGGAGCAGATCAATACCAGGCTGTTGTCGTGGATCCAGTCATTCCAGGTGAATAACGGGTTAGGGTTCTCTCAGCTTTTATAATGAAACCATACAGCATCAAATCAGCACAAACGCAACGCAGCGAGTTGGTTTATTAATGAAGATTTAGGAGAGATTACCAAAACGGAGTTCCACAGGGTACCATTCTGGGTCCCTCTACTTCCACACATCTCCTGCTCAAATGTAAACAGATCACAGGTTGCAGTTTCTGACCCAGAAGTTAAAACAACATTTAACGAAACCCACGAACCTCCAGTTAACCTTTGAACCGGTTTCTGGTTCCTCAGCTGATCAGACAACGATGTTCTCTGCTCCTAAAACGACTCTGACGGGGGAGGGTAGCATAATGTTCTGATGCCTTTAATCTGCAGCACAAACTCAACTTTACACTCTGACATGCTCATTTATCATTTTTATTGTTAGAAAAATATTTTCCAGTTAAATAGGGTAGGTGACAAGTTCCTGTTCCGGGGGGGAGGGGTCAAAGCATTGCTCCTCCTCCTCTTGGTCGTGTAGCTTCTGTTTTAAAATACGTATTCATAGTAAAGAAGTGTACGCCTCTGTTTAGGACTCAAAGACTGAGGTAAACAACTCAGTATGAGTTTTTTATTTGTGCTTTTTATCAACTCATACTTGTTTTAGTCTCCGCCTCTCTGGATGCTGACATCATCATTTCCAGGTGAGATTTGGAATACGTCTCTGAATCCTGGATTACTCGTAAATAACCATTAGTTTCACCCTTGGGTGTAATCATCAGATGCTATGAGGAGTTTTTTAATATCATCTCCAGACCTCCAGGTTGGTATTTGACGACCCACGCGGGGTCCCGACCCATACGTTGGGAACCACTGAACTCTTCAGGTGATCAAACAGAAAAAATGGTTCATAAAATGTAAATATGTTTGAGATCCAACAAAAGAACGTTTCAGGTGTTTTACCTGAAAACGTTCCCAAAAACACGGATGTGAATTCTTCACGTTTTCCGCCTGATTCTTAAAATTTGTTCAAACAAAACTTGAATCCCATCTCACCCACCCGCCTTCATGTGTTCACCCTAACGTCTGCAGATGAACGTCTGATGTGTTTAGAACAAAGTCTCTGGTGGAAAAACCAGATCTGGTTTCATTTGGTGCCAAAATAAAAAAATTCATTTATTTGTAAAACAATCTTTTGATGCTAAAATTCTCAGATTTACAGAAATAAAGTTACAGAAGTTTCTGGGTTTGTGGGTTTCTGAGGTCCAGGACCGGTTCTGGTCTTCAGGACCAGGATCAGAACCAGTATCAGGATCAAAACCTGGATCAGGATCAAAACCAGTATCAGGATCAAAACCAGGATCAGGATCAGAACCAGGATCAGGATCAAAACCAGGATCAGGATCAAAACCAGGATCAGGATCAGAACCAGGATCAGGATCAGAACCAGGATCAGGATCAGAACCAGTATCAGGATCAAAACCAGGATCAGGATCAGAACCAGAACCAGGATCAAAACTAGGATCAGGATCAAAACCAGGATCAGGATCAGAACCAGGATCAGGATCAGAACCAGTATCAGGATCAAAACCAGGATCAGGATCAGAACCAGTATCAGGATCAAAACCAGGATCAGAATCAGAACCAGGACCAGGATCAGAACCAAGTTCAGGATCAAAACCAGGTTCAGGATCAGAACCAGGATCAAAACCAGGACCAGGATCAAAACCATGTTCAGGATCAGAACCAGAACCAGGATCAAAACTAGGATCAGGATCAAATCCAGGATCAGAATCAGAACCAGGACCAGGATCAGAACCAAGTTCAGGATCAAAACCAGGTTCAGGATCAGAACCAGAACCAGGATCAGAACCAAGTTCAGGATCAAAACCATGTTCAGGATCAGAACCAGGATCAGGATCAAAACCAGGATCAGGATCAAATCCAGGATCAGAATCAGAACCAGGACCAGGATCAGAACCAAGTTCAGGATCAGAACCAGAACAGGATCAAAACCAGGACCAGGATCAAAACCATGTTCAGGATCAGAACCAGGATCAGGATCAAAACCAGGATCAGGATCAAATCCAGGATCAGAATCAGAACCAGGACCAGGATCAGAACCAAGTTCAGGATCAGAACCAAGTTCAGGATCAGAACCAGAACAGGATCAAAACCAGGACCAGGATCAAAACCATGTTCAGGATCAGAACCAGGATCAGGATCAAAACCAGGATCAGGATCAAATCCAGGATCAGAATCAGAACCAGGACCAGGATCAGAACCAAGTTCAGGATCAGAACCAAGTTCAGGATCAGAACCAGAACAGGATCAAAACCAGGACCAGGATCAAAACCATGTTCAGGATCAGAACCAGGATCAGGATCAAAACCAGGATCAGGATCAAATCCAGGATCAGAATCAGAACCAAGTTCAGGATCAGAACCAGAACAGGATCAAAACCAGGACCAGGATCAAAACCATGTTCAGGATCAGAACCAGAACCAGGATCAAAACTAGGATCAGGATCAAAACCAGGATCAGGATCAGAACCAGAACCAGGATCAGAACCAGGACAGGTCTAAGTTCACCCAGAACTATTTTCCTCTCCGGTTTGAACCCGGTTTGGGTTTTTCTGAATCAGAACCGGATAACTGAGCTGAAACTACATAAAATCACTTTTTTGTCTCCATCAGGTTCTGGTTCCGCCGAGACCCGGTTCTGGTCTTTAGGAGACCCGATTATGGGAGGTGGTGATTAACGAACCCGTCCTGGGGAGTTCTGGATCAGCCTATCGGAGCCGGGATCTGCTGAAGTGATGGACCGGAGGCGGGGGCAACGTGCAGAGAGACCGGCACGGACCGGAGGGTCTCACTTATCTCAGGAACCAGTCCGGAACCGGATCTAAGCGCGTGCTGAGCGGTACTCTTCGCGCGGGACATGAACCCGGTATCATATATGTTTTCAGCTCGGTTCGGACTCGTTTCTGATCCAGAAGACTCTGGTCTTTATTAGAAGAAACAGCTTAAACTGGACCTCAGCCCGGTCCGGTCCGGACCCAGGAGCTCAGCAAGGACCCGAACCACCGGACCCTAAATCCCAGAGGCTTAAAACTGTTCCAGTGGGACCGAACCGGGTCGGTTCCGGGCGCAAAGCGCCTTTACGCACCGATTCCCACGACGAACGCAGAAGTGATAATTAACCCGTCCTTCTTTCAGAACCAACCTGGACCGGAGCCAATCAAGCATGACCCCCCCACCCGTCATAACCACGCTGACATGCGCAATCCGCTGATCGGAACCAGCCGCATATTTGACCGGAGCCGCTCCTCCTCCCGGATCAATTCAGCCTGATGATCCGACCGAAACCGGGTCAGGATGTCCCGCCGGAAGCAAGCCAAGCCGCGGCAGCTCCGCTCGGAGGAGGAGGCGAACCGGAGGACGGGTAGGTTCGGTACCCGGTTCGGTTGGCTTTCGTCAGAGAGGATCCAACTTTGATTTCGTTGCAGATAAAAGTTTTAAAAGTTTTATCAGAATTAAAAATTAATCTCAAAGGCTTAATGATAAATAAATAAATAAATAAATAAATAAATAAATAAATCGTTTTGTCTAAAATAAAATAGAAAAATAAGTTTTATTAATTTATTCTGTTGAATTTTAATTCGCCTAAAAATCAAATGAAGTTTTGAGGCCAAATATAAAATAATGACAGAAAACCTGAAAATGATTAAAAGATTTTAGAGATTTTTTATTAAAATATAAACAGTTTTATTCCCGTTTTTACAGAAATGTTTAATCTTTTAGGTTTTCATTCTAACGTTTAAACCGGAACTCATAATTTAATCTTTCAGATTAAAATCATAAAATCTGATTTAATAACTTTTATTTTATTTTGTGTAAAATCTGTTTCAACGTCAACCTTTAATTATTAAAACATCTGTGTGTGTGTGTGTGTGTGTGTGTGTGTGTGTGTGTGTGTGTGTGTGTGTGTGTGTGTGTGTGTGTGTGTGTGTGTTGGGGGCGCCTCAGTGGACCTGCTGACTTAACCTCTGACAGCCTCACCCTGAGAGGGATCAGCGCTTCATGTCCAGATCAAAGTATAATTAGTGGGTGTGAACCTGGAGGTCAGAGGTCACAGAGGAGAAGAACCGGTCCGGTTCGGATTTAAGATTCCTGTCATACATACATTTTAAATGGAAGTGGATCTTTTCTCCTGCTCAGAACTCCCAGTGGGATTGTTTTCCTTTGACCCGTTTAAATCAGCTACTGTGGAACCGGGTCGGGTCAGAACCTCCTTGTTGACCCTGTTTACATGAAGCAGTGATCAATCAGAATTATTGATGAAACCAGCTTTAAAACATTCTGATGAATCAAGGCTGCAGCGTCTCAGAGACAGAGGTTCTGGTTCTGGTTCTGGTTCCGGTCGTTTTAAAAACCCGGATGATCTAAATCGTGCCGGCTGAGCGAAAACCTGGAATCTGGTGCAGAGTCCTAAACGTTCAGCAGATTTTATTTCCATCGTGCAAAAAGAAAAAGTCTCAAAATGCAGTAAAAATGTTTCAGTAAACACAAACAAACGTTTTCCTTTGTTTGTTTGTAAACAAGGTTTTATTATTATTAACATCGGCGAGTTTAAATAATTATGTTTTATTGGAGCATCAATAAAGATGAATAAATGTAAATAAAGAAATCTCCAGCAGAAGCGGTCCAGTCCGACGTTCCAGGGTTCCGATCAAACGCGGAATAAAACGTGGTTCCGTTGGGATAACAGCAGCGATGTGTCTGAGACGACACCGTTAAACCGGTCCCACCGGGAGGTCTTCTCCCTCTGGGACGACGTTCCCACCTCTGATCTGGGACCAGATGAGACGAATCCACAGAATCAATGGAAATGTGGATTCTTCTCAGCTTTTATGTTTCCTGGAGATTCTGGACCTGGTCGGGTCTCTTGTAGAGTTCAAAGGTGACGGAGAGAGCGGCGCTCCTCCGTGTGGATAAACCACATCTGACTTGTGTTCTCTCTCCCCCCAGAGGCCGAGCGACCGCTGGCCGCCCGACGACGACGCAGCAACGAGGAAACTCACATCTGTGATACGTGCTGCTCTGAGTTCTTCTCCTGGACTGAACTGAGCAAACACCAGAAGGTCTGCTCCGACGTTCCCACGGCGCTCGTCAGGAAGGACGACCTGACCGAGGACTCGGCTCTGGAGCCGTCTCCGGCTCCCAGCGAGGCGTCCAGCGACTCATCTGCAGCAGAGTCTACAGACGCTGGCTTCGAGCTGACCAACGACAACGACAGTCTGGATAATTTAGAGGATGAGAGGGAGTGGGATGAGTCCATGGAGCTGGGGCCTTCCCAGAGGGACAAAGTCACTTCCAGCCCTCAACGTCTGGATTGCCCCGAGTCCCCGTCCTCCCAGGCATCGGCGACAGGCAGCCACAGCCTCCCGAGCACCAACGTGACCCTGGAGATCCTCCACAGCACCAGGGTGGCAGTGGCGCAGTTCTCCCAGGGCATCAAAGGCACCGGCCCGGGAGGAAAAGCAGCTTCCGCCGCCATCCCGGTGATCCTGGAGCACCTGCTGGCTCTGCAGCAGCAACAGGTCCACCAGCTGAAGCTCATCGAGCAGATCTGCAGCCAGGTGGCCGTCATGAACCGGCAGCCGACTCAGGCAGCGTTAAACCCAGCGTCCAGGTCTCTGTCTCTGCCGCCCAATCCCTTCCCCTCTCCCGGAATCATCCCTCCTCCCATCCTGCCTCTGTCGGGAACGATGCCATCTTCCATTAATGGACAGGCTGCTGTCTCTTTGTCCTCTGTGGTTGAAAAGCCTCACAGTGTCCCCTCACATTCTGGATGTGGGCAGTCCAAGTTTCCCTCTTCTGAACACTCGTCTCCGTCTAACGGCACGCCGCTGCCTCCGTACGGCAGCAGCGCCCTCACTCCCAGCCCCTGCAGCCCCCCGACTCCCACACCAGGAAGCCTCCTCAGCTCCTCCTCCAGCCTCACCTTTCTACCTCAGAGCCCCCCCAGCAGCATCCTTTTCCCCAGCCCCCTGGCGAGCACCGCAGCCACGGCCAGCGCCCTGGACCCTCTGGCCGCCCTGATCAAGCAGAGGAACGCCAAACTTCCCAGTGCGCCGCTGTTCGAGCCGAAGCCCAGCTCCGAGGAACCCTTCTTTAAGCACAAATGTCGTTTCTGTGCCAAAGTGTTTGGCAGCGACAGCGCTCTGCAGATCCACCTGCGCTCCCACACCGGGGAGCGGCCCTTCAAATGCAACATCTGCGGGAACCGCTTCTCCACCAAGGGGAACCTCAAGGTGCACTTCCAGAGGCACAAAGACAAGTTTCCTCTGGTTCAGATGAACCCCTTTCCTGTGCCTGAATACCTAGACAGTGTGCCAACCAGCTCCGGGATTCCCTATGGAATGTCTATCCATCCGGAGAAACCCGTCTCCTCCTGGCTGGACAGCAAGCCGGTGACAGCGGCTCTTCCTGCCAGCGTGGCTCCTCCTCCGTCCCCCGCCAGGCTCGGAGGCTCTGATGATCCTGCAAGTGGAACGGCATCTGGGAAGTCTCCCGATCGGATCGCTCTGGGCGAAGGTGTGCCTGTGTCTAACTCAAGAGGAAGCGGGACTGGGTTCTCTCCCGTTTCAGAGTGGAACCGGAGGGTGGAGGTGGTGCAGCCGCCCCCGAGCTGCACCCTGACCTCCAGCAGGGCCCCCACACCTGAACCCAACACCTCAGCATCTCCACCCTCCAGCCCTCCTCCATGCTCACGCTCAGCCAGCCTCATGGACTGTGTGCAAACATCGGAAACCTCCAAGCTCCAGCAGCTGGTGGAGAACATCGACAAAAAGATCTCGGATCAGAACCAGTGTGGCGTGTGCCGCCGCGTCCTCAGCTGCCAGAGCGCGCTGAAGATGCACTACCGCGTCCACACAGGCGAGAGGCCCTTCAAGTGCAGAGTGTGTGATCGAGCGTTCACCACCAAAGGGAACCTGAAGACTCACAGTAGCGTTCACTGGGAAAACTCGCCGGTTCTGGTGCGGCACTCCTGTCCCATCTGCCAGAGGAAGTTCACCAACGCCGTGGTTCTCCAGCAGCACATCCGCCTACACATGGTTGGTCCGGTCTCAGACTCAGCTGGGCTGAACGGTCTGCCGGAGGTGGACAACTATGACAGTATCAGCAGCACTGATGTATCGATGGAGGAGGAGGAGGAGGAGGAGGAGGAGGAGGAGGAAGGAGAGAACATGGAGGATGGAGGACATGGTCCTACAGCTGACTGTAGACCTCCTCCTAAGGCTTCACCAGCAGCTCTAGAGAACCAAACTAGGATGTTGGACTCAAGCATGGGTCTAAATCTCAGCGTGACTGTAAAACCTCCACACAGGCTCAGAGAGAACATCCTGCTCCGCTCTGAGGAGCGCTCCCCAGAGAAGGAGGTAGAGGACCTCCATGAAAACGGTCTTCATGTGTCTGAGTCCTCCAGCTCGCCTCGTTTATCAGCGTCTCCTCCTCAGAATGTCTCAGAGAGCTCCGCCGCGGGCAACGGGCTAGAAAGCCACCAGCTTCTGTTCGGCTCAGTGAAGAGGGAGCCGGCTGAGTCTCCAACATCTGGAGCTTCTGCTCAGGAAGTGAGAGGAGAGCTGAGCGTGAAGGTGGAGAATCCGCACTCATCGTTCCAGCTGAGCCGAGACAGAGGTACGACTGAACCCTCAGAACCCTAGAACGACCTTAGGAACGTCAGCAGGACGTCATCCTTTCTGCTTCTTGCTTCCAGCTGCAGGTCAGAACATCTCCAGCCTGATCAGCAGCGCCTCCACAGGAACCGTCAAAGCTGAGGTGAACGGCGTGATGGAAGCCCAGCCGCCTCCTGTCAGCGCCGCTGCCGTGTACCCGGCCCCCAGCAGCCCCGGCGTGGGCCCCCTGCTGGGCCCCGCGCCGCCCCGGCGGACGCCCAAGCAGCACATCTGTCACGTCTGTGGGAAGAACTTCTCATCGGCCAGCGCCCTCCAGATCCACGAGCGCACGCACACCGGAGAGAAACCCTTCGTCTGCTCCGTCTGCGGGAGAGCGTTCACCACGAAAGGCAATCTAAAGGTACGGCTCGGTTCCGTCCGGAATCACATCCTGGTCACTGGTGAACGGGAATCTTCTATGGAATCTGAGTCAAATAATCTGGAAAGGAGCTAATCAGCAGAGATTATTTCAGTTGTTTTCCAGGAAAAAGAGGATTTAAATTCAGCTGCAAGAGCTCCTCTTTCCTAAACTTCTGAGAATTTTAAAGATTTAAACTAAATTCTGTTTTAGTGCATCAGATGTTTTACTGAAGCTCCACACCAAGATTAAAATAATCCCGTTTTCAGGTCCATATGGGAACCCACATGTGGAACAACGCCCCGGCCAGGAGGGGCCGGCGCCTCTCCATGGAGACCCCCATGGCCCTGCTGGGGGGGGAGGCCCTGAAGTTTGGGGAGGTGTTTCAGAAGGACCTGGCCGCCCGAGCCATGAGCGTCGACCCGGGGTTCTGGAGCCGCTACGCGGCGGCCATCACCAGCAGCCTGGCTAAGAACAATGAGATCTCGGTGATCCAGAACCGGGGGCTGGCGCAGCTTCACCCCCTGAGAGCCTCTGGAGGGCCCGGGGCGGGCCTCAACACGGCCGGCGTGGAGCTGGGATCTAACCGACACTTTTCTATGCTGCTCCACGACAGCAAAGACATCGGAATCAATTAAAAAAACGCAGATTTTGATGGAATTTATATGCAAATTATTATGAACATTAAAATATTTGTGCAGCTCGTTAAAAGACTTTGATAAAAACTTGATCAGTTGTGACAGATTTCAGCCGTTCGTGAACGTTTTCTACAAAGGGAAGAAGTTTCCTTCAGAGCTGGCTGCTGCTGTCTGCTGGTGCAAAGCTCAGAGAGTCTCGTTGTTCACGCTCTAACGTTGTTCTGTAATAAAAACCGGAGAACACGGTGTGTAAGTCTGCTTTACTTGTTCTAGAACATCTGAAAGTTTACGTCCATCAGCTGACTCACAACAGCAGAAGAACACGTGAAGACTTAAATGTCCAGTTTTCTGCAGGAGGAAATAATGAGCGGGTTCAAGCTCCGCCCAGTCTGTTACTGTCGTGTCCTTGGGCAAGGCACTTCACCCTTCTAACCTGCTGGTGGTGGTCAGAGGGAACAGGGATGCCTGCATGGCAGCCTCACCTTAGTGTGCCCCAGGGCAGCTGTGGCTACATAGCTCATCATGGTGTGAATGGGTGAATCATTCATTGTAGTGTAAAGCACTTTGGAGTCCTCTGACTCAGAACGGCACAATACATGTAGGTCATCTATCAGAAACATACTAAACTCCTTCGTTCTGTTTTATGAAAATGCTCTAATTTTAGGTTCTCATGAAAACAACTTAGTTAAAATCAAAAAGCCTAAAATGTCCTAAATCCCTGAAGATTTAAGATATAAAACCATCGGTTGGGGAAGAATTAAGGTGCGGTTGAACATTAAAGTAATATTTGACATCCGTGTAAAAGAAAATCAAACAGGAAGTCAGCTCAGACTGTTATCAGCTGTCAGCACGGTGGAGGAGGGCTGATGGTTTGGGTTTAGTCTGCAGCCTCTAAGACACAGATTCAAGTTTAAAACAGTTTTCCATCTAAAACGTTCCTGTAAAAAACGAAAAAGCGGTACGAAGCTGGACTTGGACTTCTCGTTTGGGCTAGGGTTCATGGAACAAATGTAAAGCTTTAATTTAAACTTTAGTCATAAATCACACACAGCGTGACCCCTTCACGGTCGTCCGGACAATTCATTCCCGTTTGACACAGATTAATGTGTTTCTCTATTATCGCTCTTATTGATGGTTTAAATTACAATTTTGAAACTTTTCAGATAAAAGTGCTGAATATTAAATAGAAAGTTCCACCGTTATATTCACCAGTCGGGACTGATTCCAATAACTATGACCGGTACGTGAAGGCAGCATCCTTCTAGGAGCGTTTAACATGACGTCAGCACGTAACGTTCAGCCAACATGGCTGACAGCATCCCGTTAAATCCGGTTCGGAAGAATTCCAGGAGAATACCGTATTACAACTCAGCCAGACTTTCACGGTATGAACGGGAATAACGGGAATGTTTTCTGGGTTCGGAGTGAAGGAACCGCCGTTTGTGTGTTTATTTCCGGCTCCCGGTTCGTTCCTGAGGCTCGGTTCCGTGTTCGGCTAGCTTGTGTTGACAGCTTCTACATCCCGGTCATGATTTTATATTGTAGGTGAGTCGGAACTCGTCCACTGGCGCTAGCTTCCCTCATGATACGCGGAGATTATTTAGCTTTTTAATATCTGGTCATGTGATAATTTCCGCGTTTAGCTGGTTGGTCACGTGATGTGAAGGGTTCGCACTGGACCGGAGACCACGTCAGGTGTGTACAATACTCGGTGTGTTTGAGCGTTTCTGTGCTTGGATGTAAAAGTACTCACTTCCGGTTATGGCAGCGACACAAAGAGCAGTTTCAGTGTTTATCTAAGAGAACGTAAACAACACACAGCCCGTGTAAACAGCTGGTAAACAGCTAGATACAACATCTAAATCAGGTGTCCCAAAAGGTTCATGCTTAGGTCAGAGGTCAGTGACCCCGCCACGCCCACAAAGGGCGCCATCTCAGACTCTACAGGCTTCAGTCATCAGGTTAAAGGTCACGGCCGAACAAACCAAAGGGAGATGTTTACCCATAATGCACTGCCGCACAAACAGCTGTCAGCGTGGTGGGGAGGGTTGTTGGTCTGGGCTGGTTCTGCAGCTACGGAATACCTGAGTTTTCCAGAGTCTGATGGAGTGAAGAGTGGACCAGAACCTCTCCAGAACCACGTGAGTGACTGATGAAGCCAAAAGCAGATGATTGAGACCTGCTGCTGTTGTGGTGCTGATGCTGTTAGATAAACATTAATGGTTTCACCGTTCTGCAGCAGGAGAAAGGCTTTTCATAGCGCCGCCCACGTTCCTGCAGGTACAGAAGGTTGTTCTTATAGCCAGGAATGCTGTGGATGATGACAAAGCCCAAACGTAACCATGGAAACGTTTCTAACCCCACACATCAGAGGTTCTGAGAGCAGCACCTTAGATTGAATTGAAAAGTAGCTGTAATGATGTTCTTCCCTCCTGAACTCTGACTTAAAGTCATTTTTCCAGCTTTATGATCCATGGAGGCCGAACTCGGATCCCTCCATGTTCCTGACAAGGTTGGGTGGTGGAGGTACCGGATCCGGGAGGGAGCCGGAGGGGTTTTCCACACGTTGGAGTTTTTCATTCCAGCCTCTGAACTCCTTGTACATGAATGCAGTTCTCGCTTTATCTCAGTTTATCTCACATATCGTGTCAGCTGACTTGTTCAAGGCTGAAGCTTGTGAACCTTGGAACAGAGCGTAATTCCACCCTCAATCAGTCCGGTTCTTTTCCTGACACTTCCGTCTCCTTCCAGCTTTTCTTTGGAAGATGAGCTGTCTAACTTGGACGAGATGCCTTTGATGATGTCGGAGGAGGGTTTTGAGAACGACGAGAGCGACTACCAGACGCTGCCTCGAGCCAGAGCGGGTCAGCGACGCGGAGGACTCGGCTGGTTCCTGCTGGGGGGCTGGAAGCTCCTCTGTGGCAGGTACAGGTCCTGACGCTCCTCCCTGGATTAATGTTGACCTAGCATAGTTAGCTTTTGTTGATGATTTAGTTACTTTTATGTTTTTATAGCTGACTTGACGGGTTCAGGTCTCTAGCATGAATGTAGCATGTTGCTAATTAGCATTTCACCACAATTCTGGAGCCCCTTCTGACCCTCAGCTGATGTGAGCGACAGGTCTTATTGCACCTGATCCAAACGAGCAGGAAGTGTTCCTGTGCTGCGTTCACTGTCATCATGTCTAAAGCCGTTCTGAGCTGCAGGATTCTGTGTTTGAGGTTTGTTGTTTATCTAAACCCTCTGGCAGGACGCGTCCTAGCCGGAGCTACGGCATCTACCGCTGATGGAGATCAGGTCCTTCTCTATTTTCCCGTTCAACAGTCATTATTGTGGTTTTTATGTTTATGAAGCGCTTCGTGTCCCAAATATTCACAATTAATAAATTCAAATAAAACAAAAGTTTGGGTCTCTGGAGGTTGAAAATAATCCAGATTAAAAGGTTGAAATGCCACGGAGGATTATCCAGTAAGACAAACATCATCATTACTCATCATCGCTCGCTTCAATGAACTCATTAAATTCCCGCAGCAGGAATCATTAAACACGAGCTGCGTTATGGAGGAAAACACGATTAATCACACGAGCCCGGACCAGCGCCGTCCTCCTGGTTCCCGCCCGTCTCTGCCGTCGGAATGCCGGCGGAGTTTAACTCGGCTGGTCTGATGAGGAGTTTGCTCTGGAGTCGAGGATGAGGATGAGGGCGCTGGCTCAGCTCCTCCATCCGCACCATCAGTCCAAAATCAGTTCGAGGTCAAACAGAACCAGAACCGGACCCGTGGTGGCCTGATGGCTTCTGACCTCTAAAGATGTTTGTTAGCGACTCACACACACACACACACACACACACACACACACACCCCACATGAACAAATGGGATTCTTCACAGTTTGATGCTTTCCAGTAATTTTCCGATTGGATAATGTGGGATTATAAAACACAAATAATCCACGGTGAGTAAGCCTCCGCTGTTCAAATGCTTTATTGTTTAAACCACATTCATTTGCTCGGAGAGCGGTTCTTCTGGACCTGGACTGGGACCGGCGGCGCGTGGAGCCACGAACCATCAACGCCAACGCAAACACGCCGTTTCCCCAAACTTCATCTGTTTACCTTCATGTTTTGCCAACTTGCTTGAAAAGATCCGAGTCCAGGTCGCTCAGCGTGACGGCACACAGCGGCACCGGCCCGGTTCCCCCCAGGCGCCAGTCTGGGTCACGTGGAGTCCCCCCCTCTCATCCCGCCCCTGTTGTGTTTGCGTTTTATATCAGATATGTGAGATCCCCCCCCCCGGCTGGACCAAAGTCAGTGACTTTTGAAAGGTTGAATCCGTTCCCGCTCTCTGAGGATTGAACGATGATTCAGAGTTTCTGCTGCAGGTTTGAATCCTTTTCAGGTAAAAGGTTCTTGTCCGTCTGACCTTCTGCCCAAAGTGCCTCAATCCCTGAACAGAAAGTTTCATTAAATGAAAACAAAACGGAGATCATCCAGCAGGAAACCAGAATCTTTATTTTTCTGTTTCCAGCTTTCGCTGGAGCGGTTTTCAGTCGAGTGTGAAGCAGCTGGGATGAGAATCAGCTCCTCTAAATCTGAGACCATGGTCTTGATTCAGAAAAGGGTAGAATGCCTTCTCCGGGTCAGGGACGAGGTCCTGCCCCAAGTGGAGGAGTTTAAGTATCTCGGGGTCTTGTTCACGAGTGAGGGAAAACTGGAGCGTGAGATCGATAGGTGGATTGGTGCTGCATCTGCAGTGATGCGGGCGTTGTACCGGTCTGTCGTGGTGAAGAGAGAGCTGAGTCAGAAGACGATCTACGTTCCTACCCTCACCTATGGTCATGAGCTTTGGGTAGAGACCGACAGAACGAGATCACGGATACAAGCGGCCAAAATGAGTTTTCTCCGAAGAGTGGCTGGGCTCTCCCTTAGAGATAGGGTGAGAAGCTCAGTCATTCGGGAGGGGCTCGGAGTAGATCTGCTGCTCCTCCACATCGAGAGGAGCCAGTTGAGGAGGCTCGGGCATCTGGTCAGGATGCCTCCTGGACGCCTCCCTGGTGAGGTTTTCCGGGCACATCCAACCGGGAGGAGACCTAAAGGTAGACCCAGGACACGGTGGAGGGACGATGTCTCTCACCTGGCCAGGGAACCCCTTGGGATTCCCCCGGAGGAGCTGGTCCAAGTGGCTGGGGAGAGGGAAGTCTGGGCCTCTCAACTTAGGCTGCTGCCCCCGCGACCCGACTCTGGATAAGGGGAGGAGAATGGATGGGTGGATGGAGTGGATGGATGGATGGATGGATGAGTGGATGGATGGAGGAGTGGATGGGTGGATGGATGGATGGATGGATGGAGGAATGGATGGAGGAGTGGATGGGTGGATGGATGGAGGAATGGATGGAGGAGTGGATGGGTGGATGGGTGGATGGATGGATGGATGGATGGATGGAGGAGTGGATGGGTGGATGGATGGATGGATGGATGGATGGATGGAGGAATGGATGGAGGAGTGGATGGGTGGATGGATGGATGGATGGATGGATGGAGGAGTGGATGGATGGATGGATGGATGGAGGAATGGATGGAGGAGTGGATGGATGGAGGAATGGATGGAGGAGTGGATGGGTGGATGGATGGATGGATGGATGGAGGAATGGATGGAGGAGTGGATGGGTGGATGGATGGATGGATGGATGGATGGATGGAGGAGTGGATGGGTGGATGGATGGATAGATGGATGGATGGATGGATGAGTGGATGGATGGAGGAGTGGATGGGTGGATGGATGGATGGATGGATGGAGGAATGGATGGAGGAGTGGATGGGTGGATGGATGGAGGAATGGATGGAGGAGTGGATGGGTGGATGGATGGATGGATGGATGGAGGAATGGATGGAGGAGTGGATGGGTGGATGGATGGAGGAATGGATGGAGGAGTGGATGGGTGGATGGGTGGATGGATGGATGGATGGATGGATGGAGGAGTGGATGGGTGGATGGATGGATGGATGGATGGAGGAATGGATGGAGGAGTGGATGGGTGGATGGATGGATGGATGGATGGATGGATGGATGGATGGAGGAGTGGATGGATGGATGGATGGATGGAGGAATGGATGGAGGAGTGGATGGATGGAGGAATGGATGGAGGAGTGGATGGGTGGATGGATGGATGGAGGAATGGATGGAGGAGTGGATGGGTGGATGGATGGATGGATGGATGGAGTGGATGGGTGGATGGATGGATGGATGGATGGATGGATGGATGGATGAATGGATGGAGTGGATGGGTGGATGGGTGGATGGATGAGTGGATGGATGGAGGAGTGGATGGGTGGATGGATGGATGGATGGATGGATGGATGGAGGAATGGATGGAGGAGTGGATGGGTGGATGGAGGAATGGATGGAGGAGTGGATGGGTGGATGGGTGGATGGGTGGATGGATGGATGGAGGAGTGGATGGGTGGATGGATGGATGGATGGATGGAGGAATGGATGGAGGAGTGGATGGATGGAGGAATGGATGGAGGAGTGGATGGGTGGATGGATGGATGGATGGATGGAGGAGTGGATGGGTGGATGGATGGATGGATGGATGGATGGATGGAGGAGTGGATGGATGGATGGATGGATGGATGGATGGAGGAATGGATGGAGGAGTGGATGGATGGAGGAATGGATGGAGGAGTGGATGGGTGGATGGAGGAATGGATGGAGGAGTGGATGGGTGGATGGATGGAGGAATGGATGGAGGAGTGGATGGATGGATGGATGGATGGAGGAGTGGATGGATGGATGGATGGATGGATGGAGGAGTGGATGGATGGATGGATGGATGGATGGATGGATGGAGGAATGGATGGAGGAGTGGATGGATGGAGGAACGGATGGGTGGATGGATGGAGGAACGGATGGGTGGATGGATGGAGGAACGGATGGGTGGATGGATGAATGGATGGATGGATGGATGGGTGGATGAGTGGGTGGATGGATGGATGGATGGATGGATGGATGGAGTGGATGGGTGGATGGGTGGATGGATGGAGGAGTGGATGGATGGATGGATGGATGGATGGAGGAGTGGGTGGATGGATGGATGGATGGATGGATGGAGTGGATGGGTGGATGGGTGGATGGATGGAGGAGTGGGTGGATGGATGGATGGATGGATGGATGGATGGATGGAGGAGTGGGTGGATGGATGGATGGAGGAGTGGGTGGATGGATGGATGGATGGATGGATGGAGTGGATGGGTGGATGGGTGGATGGATGGAGGAGTGGGTGGATGGATGGATGGATGGATGGAGTGGATGGGTGGATGGGTGGATGGATGGAGGAGTGGGTGGATGGATGGATGGATGGATGGATGGATGGAGGAGTGGGTGGATGGATGGATGGATGGATGGATGGATGGAGGAGTGGGTGGATGGATGGATGGATGGATGGAGTGGATGGGTGGATGGGTGGATGGATGGAGGAGTGGGTGGATGGATGGATGGATGGATGGATGAACCTCCAATAAAACAGCAGGAAAATGAGACAGTTTGGCTGCAGAAACTGAGACTTTTGCCCTTTAGTTCGTTTTTAGCTGTTTTGCTGATGTTTGTTAAATCAGGTCGGTCTTAAAGGTTCTGTTTTTATTGCGTTACATTTATAGATTAAAGACAAAGTGACTGAAATGATTCTGCTGTAACGTCCTGTCTGCTCCCCAGCTGCTGCGACTGTCTGGCTCACGTGTGTTGGAGGAAGAAGGAGCTGAAGGCGCGGACGGTTTGGCTCGGATGTCCAGAGAAATGTGAAGAGAAGTTTCCCAAAAACGCCATAAAAAACCAGAAGTACAACGTCTTCACCTTTGTGCCGGGGGTGAGTTCGTTTCTGCTTACAGGTGACCTGTACTCAACCGGGGGGGGCTGCAGACATGATGTTCCTGAGAACATTTGAGAAGTAGCTGTCGTTAACATTTCCTTTACAAAAGTTGTACTGCCCCCTCACCTGTACCATCTTCTCGCCCGTAGCGTCTCCTCACCTGTAGCGTCTCCTCAATTGTAGCGTCTCCTCTCCTGTAGCGTCTCCTCAATTGTAGCGTCTCCTCTCCTGTACCACCCCCCACCTGTAGCGTCTCCTCACCTGTACCACCCCCACCTGTAGCGTCTCCTCACCTGTAGCATCTCCTCACCTGTACCGCCCCCCACCTGTAGCATCTCCTCACCTGTACCGCCCCCCCACCTGTAGCATCTCCTCACCTGTACCGCCCCCCCACCTGTAGCGTCTCCTCACCTGTACCGCCCCCACCTGTAGCGTCTCCTCACCTGTAGCATCTCCTTGCCAATAGTATCTCCTCGCCTGTACCGCCCCCCCCCCCCCGCCTGTAGCTTCTCCTCACCTGTAGCGTCTCCTCACCTGTACCGCCCCCCACCTGTAGCGTCTCCTCACCTGTACCGCCTCCCACCTGTAGCGTCTCCTCACCTGTAGTGTCTCCTCGCCTGTAGCGCCTCTTCACCTGTACCGCCCCCCACCTGTAGCTTCTCCTCATCTGTAGCATTTCCTCACCTGTACCGTCCCGCACCTGTAGCGTCTCCTCACCTGTAGTGTCTCCTCGCCTGTAGCGCCTCTTCACCTGTACCGCCCCCCACCTGTAGCTTCTCCTCATCTGTAGCATTTCCGCACCTGTAGCGTCTCCTCACCTGTAGCATCTCCTTGCCAATAGTGTCTCCACGCCTGTACCACCCCCCCACCTGTAGCTTCTCCTCACCTGTAGCGTCTCCTCACCTGTACCGCCCCCCACCTGTAGCTTCTCCTCGCCTGTACCGCTTCCCACCTGTAGCGTCTCCTCACCTGTAGCGTCTCCTCGCCTGTAGCGTCTCCTCACCTGTACCGCCCCCCACCTGTAGCATCTCCTCACCTGTACCGCCCCCCCACCTGTAGCGTCTCCTCACCTGTACCGCCCCCACCTGAAGCGTCTCCTCACCTGTAGCATCTCCTCACCTGCAGCATTTCCTCACCTGTACCACCCCCACCTGTAGCGTCTCCTCACCTGTAGCATCTCCTTGCCAATAGTATCTCCTCGCCTGTACCGCCCCCCCCCCCCCCCCCCGCCTGTAGCTTCTCCTCACCTGTAGCGTCTCCTCACCTGTACCGCCCCCCACCTGTAGCGTCTCCTCACCTGTACCGCCTCCCACCTGTAGCGTCTCCTCACCTGTAGTGTCTCCTCGCCTGTAGCGCCTCTTCACCTGTACCGCCCCCCACCTGTAGCTTCTCCTCACCTGTAGCGTCTCCTCACCTGTACCACCCCCCACCTGTAGCGTCTCCTCACCTGTAGCATCTCCTTGCCAATAGTGTCTCCACGCCTGTACCACCCCCCCACCTGTAGCTTCTCCTCACCTGTAGCGTCTCCTCACCTGTACCGCCCCCCACCTGTAGCTTCTCCTCGCCTGTACCGCTTCCCACCTGTAGCGTCTCCTCACCTGTAGCGTCTCCTCGCCTGTAGCGTCTCCTCACCTGTACCGCCCCCCACCTGTAGCTTCTCCTCGCCTGTACCGCTTCCCACCTGTAGCGTCTCCTCACCTGTAGCGTCTCCTCGCCTGTAGCGTCTCCTCACCTGTACCGCGCCCCACCTGTAGCTTCTCCTCACCTGTAGCGTCTCCTCACCTGTAGCGTCTCCTCACCTGTACCGCCCCCACCTGTAGCTTCTCCTCACCTGTAGCGTCTCCTCACCTGTACCGCCCCCACCTGTAGCATCTCCTCACCTGTACCGCCCCCCACCTGTAGCATCTCCTCACCTGTACCGCCCCCCCACCTGTAGCGTCTCCTCACCTGTACCGCCCCCACCTGAAGCGTCTCCTCACCTGTAGCATCTCCTCACCTGCAGCATTTCCTCACCTGTACCGCCCCCCACTTGTAGCTTCTCCTCACCTGTACCACCCCCCACCTGTAGCGTCTCCTCACCTGTAGCGTCTCCTCACCTGTAGCGTCTCCTCACCTGTACCGCCCCCCACCTGTGGCTTCTCCTCACCTGTACTGCCCCCCCACCTGTAGTGAAGGAAGTAGAAAATAATTGCCTCAGAAGGAAAAAAACATTTATTTTAGTCGTCTAAAGTTACTGACTGAATTTAAACGTAAACAAACATTTATTTTCTAAATGAACTTCATTCCAAGTGAAGGGAGTCGGATTAGGAGCGCTCTAGCAGAACTTCCGGAAGGAGATGTTCTGACCGCTGTGGCTGAAGTCGGACCTTCGGGATGAAACTCTTCATCTGGTATCAGAGACACAGGATCCAACTGGGATAATCTCAGTGTTTTTATGTACAGAATTCCCATTCCAGCCTGAGATTCCTGCAGGAATCAGCCTTGCACAGCTCGTATGAGGAGGTGCAGCTCGGTGACGTTCACCTCTGCTAACTCCTTAAACAACAAGGCCTTTACTCGGCGGGGCGTTGGCGTTTCATCAGATTTACTTATTAAACAGCTGATGAGTCGGAGCGCCGCCGCCGCTGAGGTCATTAAATGTCAGCTGTCTGTTAGAGGAGCAGAAATTCTCCGGGTCGGCTCGATTCTCCTGCTTCCAGCTGAATTATTAAACACACACAGATTGAGTTTAGCAGGAAGCTTTTCCCGAAAGGTCAGAGAGGTTCATTAACCGCCCTCGTGGATCCCGTTGTCTCTGATAACCTTTGACTCCCCTCCCTCATTTTTCCCAACATTACTCACAACTTGACCTTAGAGGAACAGATCCGTCCTGCTGATGGATGGTCTGTTCGGAGCGCCGCTGCTCCATGTGGATCCCACCTGCAGGAAGTCCTCAGGTTGATGCTCCAGACTGAACGTCCTCCTGCGTTTCAGCAGAAATGGGAAACATGCCAGGTGTTTGAAGCTGAAGGTGTTTTTATCTCCTCAGGTTCTCTACCAACAGTTCAAGTTCTTCCTGAACCTCTACTTCCTGGTGGTGGCCTGCTCCCAGTTTGTGACGTCACTAAAAATTGGATATTTGTACACGTACTGGGCGCCGCTGGTAGGAAAACCACGGTTTTCACTGATGTGATGTCACTCTGGCTCAGATGGCGGGAATAATCTGATTTCATGGCTCAGGGTTTTGTGATGGCGGTCACGATGGTGCGGGAGGCCGTGGACGAGGTGCGGCGCTTCCAACGCGACAAAGAGATGAACTCCCAACTCTACAGCAAACTGACAGTTAGAGGTCAGAGGTCATCCTCAGGTTGTGTCTTTGTGTTGTTATGGTGGACGTGTGGGAACGTCAGGAATTCTGATTGGTGCTGCTTCTGTGTGAGCGGTAGCAGAACAGCTGTTGTGTTGTCCTCATGCGGAGACGACTCCGGAACCCAGATCTGATCCGATTGTTTCCATTAGCATTCCGAGTTTTCTTCTTCCTTCCCGTTTGTTTTCTTCTTCAGGTAAAGTTCAAGTCAAAAGCTCAGACATTCAAGTTGGAGACCTGGTTATTGTTGAGAAGGTGAGATGTTTGTTTGTTTGTTTACGTCTGCTGCCCCCAGCTCTCTCCCTCCACCTGAGTCCTGTTACCCTTGACCTTTGAACCACTGAGCTACTTCCTGTTTCAGCTACAGCAGCATTAACACGTTTAAATTTTAATGTCAGACTTTAATCTTCTGCTTCCCGTTGATGTTTTTCCGTGGAGAAGTTGGGACCAGCAGGAATATTTCCTGCTGGAGACTCCTGGTTTTATTAGATTCCTTTACAAACGTCTGCTTGTGTTTGTAGAACCAGAGAATTCCTGCAGACATGATTTTCCTGAGAACGTCTGAGAAAACCGGTGAGTGTAACACGGAGCAGCTGGAAGCGCGGGGACCTCTGAGAAACGGGAACACGATGTTAAACGGACTTTAACACCTTTAGTCAGTCGAGACCAGCAGGTCGGAGGTGGAACTTTCTCCGGAGTTCCTCCTGTGATTCTTAAGATTCCTCTCCTTTTGTCCGAGTGACAAATGACACGATTCCCGTGAGTCGATGATCTTCGGCAGTGTCGAGCATTTTTCTCAGGTTGTCATTTCCATCCGTCTCCGACCTGTCGATATCCCCGACGGAGAGGTGTGGATGTCTTTGTCTTCCTCCTCATCCTCTCACATTCCTGAACACTCAGTCAGCCTCCGTGAGAGGAGCCGATCCGCCACTGCGGCACAAAGGAAGCATGAATCATCCTCCTTAAAGTTTTCCATTATACTTAACCCTCAGGGATCGTTTATGCCGGCCCTTACCCTTCCTGTCAGATACTCGCTCCTATCCATCACTTCCTTGGGATGGAATATTCCCTCGGATCAATACGAGTCACGGCAGCTTCTGCCGGACCTCTTGGAGCATTGCAGCCGCAGCTGGAAGCTCCGGGCGGAAAACCGCTGGTTATTTAAGCCAATCCTAAGTTTTCATTTTAGGAAATCTTTGAGATGCAACAGGTGTCGATGTCATCACCATGGCAACGAGTTCAGAGAGGGAAAAAGAATTCTTAGTTTGTTTTTATGAATAATAAAGTTTTTCTCTTGAGATTAAAATGGAAAAATCTAATTTAATAAATAACTCGGATTTCTGTGTGTTATGATCTAAAAGTTAAAGTCGGAGAAGTTTTTATCCAGGGAAACGACGGACTCTCCACCATCTGGAAAACCGCTGGTTTCCCTTCAGATGTCTGGGTAACAGATTCCCATTTGAACTTTAGAAAGCTAAACAAAATAATCCCTAATCTGCCTTAATTAATCACGGATTAATCTTCCTTAGGATATTCTCACCTCCATCTCTCGTTTACAGAATTCCCTCGTTTTTCCAACTCGCCTGTAACCATGAAGCTAACGTGCCGTTTGCTGCTGAAGAACTGATCTTATGTTTCTGGTTCCAGGAGCGTGTTTCATCCGGACGGATCAGCTGGACGGAGAAACCGACTGGAAGCTGAAAGTCGCCGTCGGCTGCACTCAGAGACTTCCTGCTGTTGGGGTTCGGAAGTTTTCCTGTTAAAGAAGCCAGAACTCGATAAAACACGATTCAGCCATTCATGTGTTCATAAATCGTTCCCGTCTTCCCTGTTGGGAGCTTCATGAACAGCCTCTGTTCAGAGGAATAGTTAACGACTGATGAGCTAACTGCTAGGCTGGGTCAATTGAATGTTTGGATGTTTTTCACATGGAATAATTTTTATTAAAAATGTAATTCTGTTTTATTTAAACAAGGAATTCATTTTTTTCTACATGGAATCCTGTTTAAACCTGGATTTCGGCTTTTTAAACATGGAATTTCATTTTTAAAGAAGGAAGTCTTTTTTTTTACATGAAATTCTGTTTGTAAATGGAATTCTATTTAAACATGGAATTCAGTTTTTAAACATGGAAGTCTGTTTTTTTAAACATGGAGTTATATTTTAAATGGAATTCTTTTAAACATGGAATTCTGTGTATTTTTACACAGAATTCTATTTAAACATGGAATTCTGTTTTTAAACATGGAATTATATTTTAAATGGAATTCTTTTTGAACATGGAATTCTATGTATTTTTACATGGGATTCTGTTTTATATAAAATTCTTTTAAAACCTGGAATTCTGTTATTTTTTTTACACGGAATTCAGTTTTTTTTACATTGAATCCTGTTTAAACCAGGATTCTGTTTTTTAAACATGGAATTTCATTTTTAAAAAAGGAATTTTTTACATGGAATTCTGTTTGTAAATAGAATTGTATTTAAATGTGGGATTTTGTTTTTAAACATGGAAATCTGTTTTATTTATACATGGAATTATATATTTTAATGGAATCCCGTTTAAACTTGGAATTTTGTCTTTTTAAAAACATGGAATAGAGCTTTCTTTTTACTTAGAATTCCCTTGCTTCTATCCAAGTGCAGCTCTAGTTCAGAAGTCCTGGCGTTCTGAATGGCCGTGTGAGTAAAAACTGAAGGGATGTTAAAACACCATAAATGTGGGAAATGCGGGAGCTCGGAGGTGACGCGTTGCGGTCTTCACTCAGACTAGCTGTTAGCTCATCAGTCCTATTTCTCTGAACAGAGGCTGTTCAGGAAGCCATGTGTTCTGGGTTGGGTGTGGAATATTTTAGGAAAACTAAACCTGATCTAGACCCGAGCGTCTCCCTGAAGGTCTCCGTCTGTCTCCCTG